TATATATATATATATATATATATATATATATATATATATATTTGTGAAAAGACATTGTTTTGAACTATGACAAAGTTTTCTAGAACAGGTTGCGTGGAACAAGTTGCGTAGAACAAGTAGTAACAAGATGTTTCAGTTAGTCCAACTCTAAATGGGATTCCAGAAATATTTCCTATTTATTTAAGAAAAATTGAGCGTAAGTTTTCTTGAGGCAGCGACTACCTAATTAAGGAAAATGACGTTCAAAAGGAAAAATGTTTTTGTAAGCTAATAAGGAAAATCATGTAAGAAATTTCCTTTCAATGCAAAGCACAAAGATAAGTCCTAATGCTACAAGGTTTCTTTACGGCGGCAGTGATAAAGGAACTATTCCTACTTGTTTAAGGAAATAGCTTGAGGCGACATAGTTGAAGGAGAAATTTATTTAAGGAAATTATACGTAGAAAGGTTTTTTTTCAAGACGAGTCCAACGAGGAATTCTACGTGAAGAAGGATTTCGAGTTAAGCAAGGGATTGAAGATGCGGCGAAGACAAGTTCGAGTTGAACTAGTAGTTCCACACAAAGTAGGATATGATTTCTAGTTGAAACAGGTTTTGGATTCAAGTCCAAATCTATAAATAGGGCGATAAATTCTCTTGAAGAAGATTGCACACTTACATAGAGAGAAGATCAAAACACAATCAAGAGGTTTGAGAGAGTTTTGAGAGTTACTTGGGAGTGTTGCCAATTTGTGAGGAAAACATTGTATGATTGTAATTAAAAGTTTTAATTACAATCGAGTGTGTGTGTAGAATTCGTCTAACAAGTTTGAGAAACTTGACGGACGGTAGAAGGCTTAGGCTTGGGTTTTTTGTCTTGGGTAGCTAGGAATTATAGTTTATAATTTCTTAGCTTGAAATTAGAGTTTCTAATTCCTTAGGTTACATAGACTTGTAATCTATTGTTGATGTTCAAAGTTTAATAAAGTGGAGTTAAATCCTACAGAGGTGTAGGTCGTGGTTTTTACCTTTGTGAGTTGGGATTTGCGATAAAATGTTGTGTCATTATTTTATTTGCTTCACAAAACTTAATTGTTATCTGCACAGGAACATATAGAATAAACCTGTTCCTTAAGCAAATTCGGCGGTCAGAATTCCAACAAAATCATATTATAGAAAATTCAAAAACTACACGTTTATACAAATTTTAAAAAAGTTATACACAAAAAGATTGAAGTTATATGATGACAAAACTGAAAAACCAAAGGAAATTATCATCAATACAAATACAAACAATCATATACAAAAACAAATCAAACAAAGAACTGTTAACTGTGAATTATACAAATGTGGTGAATTATACATATACAAACGTGACTAATTGTACAAACTCAAGTCAGTCCACGTAATTAATGTATAATGTTAGTCGCTAGTGATAATTATAACAAACTATAGCTATGATGAGTAATTAAATACTATAAATTTGCTTAACCACATAATTTTTTCATAATTAAATATGTAAATTATTATATTTATGTTAACCTATATAATTGTTTTTCTAAAAATAATATAATTTTGTTACACTGTGTAATTCATTTTTTTTTATCAATCTTTCAGAAAATTATGAGAAACAAGATGAAAAAAATCACATTTGTACATATTAGTTTCATTTTGTTTTGATTTATTTTAAAAAGGAGAATTTCCAAAAAAATGATTTACCTATTTTAGCTTAATTTAAATTCTAAATAAAGTGTTTAAAATAAATATCTTAATACTGCTATTTTTACTTTGTAGGAATAATATTTTTATATTCTGTTTCCACCTCACTAAAAGAAACTTCACCATGTCATTGTTCTCATCCTCACATTCCACCTTCTAGAACTTTCCTCATCACTGCATGACATAAGTATCAACTTTCCTTTTCACAATGTTTTATCGAAAAATGATGATTTCGAAAAAATTTGTTTTATTTTCGACTTTTAGGAGTCGCCACTTAATTTTTGAGAAAAATCAAGAAAACTTTGTTTCTAAACAACTTGGACGGAAAAAATTGTTTTGAAACTATTTTTAGAGGGTTCGGGATCCTTATTAGTGTCTTAGGAAGGTGTAAGGCACCTAAAACACTCTGTTAACTTACGATTTTCCGGTGATTAACTTATTTGACTATTTTGCGATTTTGAAGTTGAATCTTTATTAGAATTTTACTTGGCCAAATTTACAAGTTGAAATACTTAATTCTTTTAAAGTTAAACTTTTTAAATTTTAAATTCTAAATGAACTAGTGACTTTGAAACGTCTATTGTTTTAAAACTTAGTTTTAGCTTGATAAAATGGAAATGCGTTTCAAAGGGGGTTTGGAGTTTTTCTAATCCTAAGCTAACGACATATAAACAAATGCACATAAGCAAGTAATAAAGAGAGAGAGATTTGAGTCCAAACTCGAATTCTGTTCGTCTTGACCGAGTTTTGGACCCACCTGTTTTTTGGGGTTTTCGACTCATTTACCTGTCCTAGACTAAGCATACGAAATATAGAGAAAGTAAAGCGACAAGGGCTTATGCCCATTACAAAAATAAAAGTACAATACAAAATAAAGAAATTCAACGGGTCTCCTAATCCGCTTCTTCAAATTCTTCAATATTCATGGCATTTGACTCTCGCATGCTTGCTTTGACTGATGAAGAAATTGAGCCTTTACGGCTCTTCCGGAATGCAAGGAGAGAAGGGAGCCCCAAAGACAGCCCGAGAGGAGTTTCCACGTGCCACCAAAACCAAAAGAAATGAGAATTGACATTTTTTAGACGAATAACTAAAATCAACAAAATACACAAACGCAACAAGGATTAATCGGATATTCACACGAACAGCAAAATCAATATTCAGCAAATTTGATGACAACTTTAAGGCAAAGAGTCATGAAAATGCATACTTGGAGAGCTGCTGGAATTAGATGCATTTTTAGAGAACTTTTGAAATTAGGCCCATACATTTGATAAACTCATATGCCAAATTAACTTAAGAGAAGGGAGGGATACGAACATCTTCTATGAATCAAACTTGCAGCCAACACAAACTCAGGCAGATTTGGTGGAAGTAAATACCAGAAAATATTAGTGTAGCAAGGCTGTCATGACCGAAACTAGGGAGAAGAGGAGATTTCATTCACATTCGGCAAACACACATGGAAATTATTGTACCCTGGAAACCTCCCAACTTAAACAAACTAAAACTTGACAGAAGTCAAATTCGATGAGACGCCAAAGCATGCCAACTAACATTCGAACAGCGGCTCCCAAAACAGAACGAAACACGATAAGATTGGTTGTAAGGACACTATGACGAAACAGAGAGTAGCATAAACAAGTGAATGTAACGAAAACATACGACATGTCTTGAACTCAAAACTAAACCAACAAATGCAATCTTCTACATTTATAACAAACAAGCCATGTAAACTCGATATTCGAATGGTTTAACATATTCGATCCAGAACAAACGAAAGACAGCATATGGCTTAACAGCAACTCACATAACGGTTCAAAATATCACCAGCAAACATTAACAATCACAGCTAAGAAACAGCGCATCGATGGACGATACCTTTTCCGGGGCAGCAGAACCAAGACGAGCGAAAAACACCAACACAGAATGGTGAAACGCGAGTCGCGGAATCGAACAGCTCGCCAATCCTAAACCTTTCTTTCAACGAACAGTAAAGCAAGGACTTTCCCTCCTTTCATTTTTTTATTTCGAAAATCTTTTCCCCAACCTTTCAGAATTTTTCCATGAAAAATGTCAACCCCCAAAATTGCTAACCAAATTTCTAACTCCAAAAATCTCCCATTCCACTGTTCTCAGCAGAAGAGAACCAAAATGTTTTCAAGATTCTTCTTCTCAAAACTCGTCTTACCCTTTTTGTGATAGAACTCTCCAAATTTCGAGAAAATCCTCCAACCTCTAACTCCCCAAAACTCTAAAAGAATTCCAACCAAAGTTCCAATCTAAAACCGCTAACCCTTTTCTTTTTCTTTTTTCAGAATTTCCTTCCCCCTGAACTGAAAATGGAATGGGGTTTATATAGATGATGGAAAAATAGGACGATTTTGTGTCGCCTTGCTCACTGTTTTGCTGGCAGGTGTCCGTTGTGACTCGTCCACGCGCGAGTGGGAGACGCGGGGTTTCCGTCGGAGGGTCGCGTCTGGGTAAGGGGGTTTTCGAGAAACGCGTGCGGAGGAGACGCGAAGGGTTGGGTTTTCTGGGAATTTTCGCGTTTTTTCTGGGTTTCTGCGTCTCTGTTTTTGCTGGGTGGTCGGGTATGGGGGGTTATCGAGTGGGGATTTGGGGAAGGGGAAACGGGTCGGGTAGGCGGACTGGATTGGGGCATTTAAGTTTGGTGGATCGGGTTAGGAAGAGAGTTGGGTTGGGTTGAAAATTAAAAGGGATAGATGGGCTTGGGGTTAAAAGGGATTAGGGCCTGGGAATTAAAAGGGAAGGGTTGGGCTGGAAATTGGGTTGACAATAGGAAGATTGGGCCTAGGTCTAGTAATAGAAGTGGGATGGCTGTTGGGTCGCCTGGGAATTAATTTTAAGTTGGGTTGGTTTCGAATATACACAAGATATACCGGCTATATACACAACTATGTAAACATTAAATTGTTATATTTTCGCAAAATTATAAAACTAATTAATTTAAATTATTTGGAAAATTTAGGAAGCTCGATAATTAAATCATACCGGAGCGGATCAAAATTGGGTGTCAACACACAACATGGTAAAAGTGTAGTCAATTTTCCTTTTCACAAAATGGTAAAAGTGTAGTCAATTTTCATTTTCACAACATAATAATAAAAGTATAGTCAATTTTCCTTTTCACAAAATGGTAAAAGTGTAGTCAATTTTCATTTTCACAACATAATAATAAAAGTATAGTCAATTTTCCTTTTCACAAAATGGTAAAAGTGTAGTCAATTTCATTTTCACAACATAATAAAAGTGTAGTCAACTTCCCTTTTCACTACACTTTTACCACGTACAACATTATAAATAGAAAAAGACCTAGACCTTAAGTTAAATCATTTATAATGACTAGAGGCACTAAAAGAAACACATATATGCAGAAGAGTTGAATAAAATGATATCTGAATTCAAGTATGTATCGGTCTACTATAGGTCATCCCAGAAGTGGTGTAAGGCAACAATATCTTATATGGTCATTCAATTAATTTATTATTTTTTTTATAAAAAGTCATTTAATTTTCATTTATAACATCAAAATCATTTAATTATAAATTTCTCACAGACTGTCATTCAAATAATAATTTTTTTTCATAGAAAGTCATTCAACTTTCTGTTATGATTTCACAGTCACTCAACTATTGATATTTTATTTAGAAAGTCACCTAAAATTTAATGAAAACATATTTATATTGGTTGGGTGACTTCCTAAATGATATATCAATAGTTGAGCGACTTTGAAGTTATAAAAAGAAAGTTGAATGACTTTTTATGGAAAAAATTATTAGCTGAGTGACTTTCTGTGAGGAAAATCTATAGTTGAGTGATTTTGAGGTTATAAATGAAAGTTAAGTGACTCTCAGTAGTATAGGTGATATGATAAAATTATCATTTTATTTAGCGCTTCTTAAGTGGTATGTCAAATTAAACATAGACAAGTAAAGATGGAGGGGTGGAGTGCTCGTCCATTTTAACAAATCAAGACAAGTTTTTCTTCTTCTCAAACTTTGTACTCCCTCCGTCCAACGATAGTTGTCTACTATATTGACTTGACATATTTCTTAAGAAACAATAAATAACAGGGATAATATTACTATTTTACTCTTTGACTTTATTAAATTTACTTTTTGAGAAATGTGTTAGATGATAAATAATATTTAATAGAAGAGTAAAATAGACATAAAAAATAAATTATCTCTTGATTTTTTAAATTGGACAAGTATTGCTAGACAACTATTAATATAGTGGACAAATATTATTAAACGGATGGAGTATTAAATAACTACATAATAGTAGTAGTGGTAAATTTAGAATTTCAACCATTACACGATTAGAATTTGAATATATTAAATTTGATGCTTTGAAAAATGTATTAGATATTGAATACTAGAATTTAATAGCTAGAGTAAAATAGATAAAAATAAAATGATAAATTAACTCTTGATTTCGTAAACTGCACAAATATTATATTGTTGGACAACCATTTTCTGTATAATGGATTAGTAAAAATGCAGAGCGGAATTATATGAATTTTTTGGGGATATTGTTGTCCAATTTGGCCTTTTAAATGACATGCATCACATATGGAGTTTAAAGTTTCGAACACTACTAGTATATAATTTATACATCGTCAAATCGTCCAAATGATATATGCAAACTTCTTTAAATTTATGTGAGATTTGAAATTTTAAAAATAAGACACGTTACATGTTATAACAGACAAAAAAATCATATGATTTAACTTACATTAACAATGTATATTACTTAAACTCAAAATGAAATACAACTTCATTTCTATTTTTTGTTCTTCAAACTCTTAAAACCATACCATTTTGAACCCTTTGATCTTGGAATGACAATATCTCAATGGGAAACTCACAATTTGGCTCAGAGGGATTTGTTGCTACAATTTGACCTAAACCATCAAAATCACAATCTTTTACTTCTTGTTTGTTTTTTTGGAAAAATGCATTCATAGCATATGAAACTTTGGAAGCATAACTTAGTCCATCACATGAAGCTCCTTTTTCCAATTGTGAACAATCTGAAACTTGGCATGCTAAATCATAATTCTTATTCACCAAATCCATGTTTGTTGTGTCCCCATTGAACTTGCACCATCGATTTGGCATTTTCACAATGCCCTTAGCTTGAGTAGGTAACACGTCACGGCCCTGTAATTAGAGATGATAAAATCAACTCATGAAAATATACCTTCACTCATTTTAGTGCGGTCTATCAAAAAGTTGGACTTATTTAGGCTAAATATGTGACCAAATTGACTAATGAGACCTTTTAAAATCTTTCAATAAAAATAGTTTTTGTTTGATATTTTATACATAGTTATAACAAATTATTAGTTTATAAAAAAAGAAGAAGTTTTGGTTAGGGTTTGGGAATGGATTATGACTCATTGTCTAACCTATTGTTGTTGCAATTCAATTCAATTCGAATCGATCATTTAACATCCGTACCTGTAATGATAAATCAATCTTGTACTTTGGATTGCCATCTGCCTGGTAAATACCCCAATGTCTTTGAAATAAACCAAAAATCTTGTTAAATTGATTCTCATCACACAAGCTATGTAGATATATGTCAATTGGCCCTGGCTTCATTGGTGTCCCTTTTTTTGATGTTATAAATTTCAATAACCCTTTGTGAAATCTCTCTGCATTTTTAACATTTGCATGTGGATATCCATCTGTGGGCCATCCAATTTGAGCAATCATAATTTTCATATTTTCATATCCTGCTTTTTTTATTGCCCACGCAACGGAGTCGATCATCAACTCCACGGCGTTTGTGTATGTAATATTACCATCTTTGATTTTAAATCCGCTGTTATTATCAAAGAACGCAAACTCTATGGGGTAATTCATTACGTCTTTAACGAAATGAATTGGGAACATGACGAGAACAAAGGGAGCCCCGGTTCGATTGAACTCCGCTAGTGATTCGATCATTTGTGGTTTTATGTCATCGCGAAAGTCCGACTCCGATGGAACTTTTGTGTGATTCAATACATCCATACCATGTGCGGTCGTTGTTCTAACATGCCCTAAACCCATCTCATCGAGACTTTCTCGCATGAGTTTTAACACGGGCACCACATTGTAGTTCGTTACTTGTTTTAAGAACGTATTAGAAAATGGTTCGGACCCCACCGTTAGTTCCCTGAATAAATAAAAAAGGACACATATGTCAAGAATATTTTCGACAAGTCAATTTTCACATAATAATAATATAATAATGATCAATTACTTACACTATGTTTGCACCTTTGTTGATTGGATCCTTGATTCTATCATTTACCCAATTATATGCAAGGTCTTTCCTATTTGCTTGATACATAAATGAATTTCCCATAAGAACACTAACACTAATATTAGTGCCTGAAAATATTTCAATAATATCATACCCTGAAGTCATTAATCTCAATTGTGAAATTTTATTTTGTAAAAGCAAATCAACAACCATAGATGGAACCAATTGTTGTGTTTGCTGCCTTCCCCATGTGATGCCCACAAAACTATTCACTTGGGTTGCCATGACCAAACATATGCCTATGATAATTATTACCCTCATCTTGAGCGATGTCACAAATTTTAATAAGAAAATTTGATAGAAAAACTTAAAATGTTACGACCTGTAATATGAAACAATTCTTGAGTCACATCTATATAACAACGGTTAAAAATTGCCTTTTTTCAAGAATCAATAATTTGTACGTATAAAAAAATTGTAATTTTTTTGTGTTTACCTTGTGGAATACAATATGATTTTCTGACGAAAGATTTAAGCTGAATTAGTCCCCTTAGGATGATGTAACTCTGCCAAAACAATTTTTGCTAAAAATGTTTTTTTTTTTCAAAGATGTTTAACAATTTGTTTTTATTTTTACCTTAATTCCGCGATATAATTTACCGCTGAAATTCAATTAAATCCTTTCGGATCTTGCAACTAGAATAAATTTCTACGGGTTCTCCTAATTAAATTTGAAGATCCCAAAAAAGGAGGTTGCCTTTACATGGATAAAAGATAGAAAAATGTGAATTTTTTTAAATGTTTTTTTAGGGGATCAGTTTTGTCATAGAAAAAGGGAGGAAAAAAAAATAAAAATAACGTGAAATATGGGGTAGCCCGCTTATTATGGGCATGCATCTAAAAATATGTATAAAAAATATCGATATTAATTTGATGTAAATATCCAGTAGAAGTAATAATTCTCAATACCAATCACTCAATTTTTTTCAGTTTAGTTTGGAGCCATAATCATAATTCAACTTCAATAATTGTTTTATCTCATGAGTCTTCGTGATATGAATTAAAACATATTGGTAGCTCTAGCTACATCATAAAAAAAAAACAAGAATTCAATCAAATTGGTGAAGGTTTAACACTTCTAGATCCATTATTTAGTTGTCGTAGTTCGTATTGATTTAAAAAAAATGAAGAGGAAAACCGAAATTTGAATATTCATCGTTATAAAAATATCCACATATACCTTATTTACTATAACTCACTGATAATTAAGTCAATCCGTAACTCAAAACAGAAATTAATGAGTGTAAAGATAGAAACAAGGTGGAAGCGACAATTAAATAACAGAGATAGAAGAACAAGGCAGAAGCAAATCAATATATATACAATAAAAGATCCATTACTGAACCTAGAATTCATAAGTAGAAAGTTTCTAAAAAAAAAGGAGTAAGTTCCAAAAGTGAACCCAAAAAATACAAGTCTCAAAATACAAAATACGAGCCAACAAAATATAAATAAAAATAGGTAAGTTCAGGACGTCATGTGTTCACCCTCGCCTCCAAGTTGTAGTTGCATAGGGCTCGAATCTAAGCACTGGCAACTAGTGCTTGAACATAAGATAAATGAAGAGTATAGCGTGCATGAGTACGAAAACAAGTACTCAATACACATATTCATGGACCGACTGATCGACCAAGAAAAGTAAAAACAATATTGTTAACTCCATAGTCAGTTGATTTTGATAAATGACACTTACACAGTTATTCATACTCTTCGAAAGTAAAGACATCAAAAAGAGATTTGTCTTGATCCCCAAAGTAAACAAATAAAGAAAAGATATAATAAGAGCTTCCAGAATCAATCAAGCATATCTTGATTGATATGATGAAATCAAGGACCTAGGAGGCAGACAAATTACTTTGCAATAAATCAGGGATTATGTAATCACTAGCAAATCAAGGACAAATCAAATCAAGAAATAAGGGACAGTAGAGTAACTATGGTCACTATGGATACTGAACATCAAAAAGAGAAAACTTAGTATCTATGGAAAGGAGTATCAACAGTGATTGACTAAACCAATCACTAAAATTCAAATCTCACTGCTGGAAGGAAAATCGCTCCAACAAAGGAAGCAGTCGCATCAACGAAGGAAGCAGATTCTTACAAGAGAAAATAAAAAATGAAAGATCAAAAGAAATCAACAAATGACAACTAGACAACCTCTGATTCAAGGCAGAAATCAACTTGGCAAATTCGAAGTAAATCAACTGAAAGCATACTCAATCAAGGCATCATTAAAAAACACTTGATTGAAGGAAATTACCCTAGGTTATCCAAATAGAGCTAAAATACACCTCAACATTCAATGTATAAATGAAGGTCTCAGAAGATTAAGAATATCATGCACTTCACTTGAACTTATATTGTAATCTCCTTTTATCTTTCATAAAACTCTATACACCTTTGAGTGAACAATTGTAAAGAAAAGAAAAAGAAAGATCTGAGTGTAGGTTATACAGGTAAAGGTTGTGTCAGAGAAGAAGGTTTGATTTGCATATTAGACGGGCTCTTAATAGTAACATTCTGTAACACTCAAGTTCTCAACAAGCTTTTAAGGAAATCCTTGTAACCCATGGGGACTAGACCAGGCAACCACATCGGTGCTCCAAACCAGTATAAAAACACTCTGTGTTATTTACTTACTTCGAGTTATTATTATTATTACTAACGTGCAGGTGAGTCGACTGATCAGAGCAGAAAGTCGACTTAAGGAAATTTTAATTCACCCCCCCCCCCTCTTGACTTTCAAATATAAATACTACAATAAAATACAAACATATGTCAAAGAGTGGAATTTAAAAGAGATGCACATGAGTGTACAAAGAATAGAAATAAAATAAGTACAACTAACTAATTAAACCTAACTAGGCCCCTATAAATCCAAAAGATACACTTGTATGCAAATTAATTCGAATGAATCTCTATAGGCCCGACGGGTACAGAGAATGGCTAACACTACTGAGAGCAGAACCCCGTGAGTCCACAACTGGAGAAAGTGTAGTCCCAACCTCGAACCACATATAGCTTCCCAAGTAACCAATAAGACTACGACTAGATCAAATCCCAGACATGAAGGTCCTTATGTCAAATCATCATCATGGAACGACGTCCACTCTCAACACATTAACCCAAGCTAAATCCAGTTCCAAGTCGTCAATAGAAGCTCGATATCTCAACTGTAAATTGTGGGGCCGCAAAAATAGGGAAAAATGGATAAAAGGTCATTAGAGCTGAGTTAATGCCTAATATAAGACTTTTTCTATGAGATCCAAGTCTGCTATACCAGTCTACAAGGAGCTAAACATCTGTAACAATATTGGGACAAAACTAAGGCCAAATAGCTGCAAATAACACTACTCTATAGATAAAAATTACACCTCGGCAAACGTTGATATGGCAAAAAAGAAAATGAAGGCGTGTAAATTTTTTTTTTGATTTGTTTGATCATATTCTCATATAAATATGATGAAAAACATATTTTAATGCTAGTCAAAATTTATACGGCGCGACTCTCAAAACGAAATTTGTGACAAATATTTTGGACTAGAAAATAGTGTGCAATCGAGTTTTCCTGAGAAATTTAGGGGAACTAATGTACTTTGACAAAAATAAAAATAAATAGAAGATGACTTATACTGAATATTTTTTTTTATAATTTAGGTAACCATAAAGTAATTAATTAACTCAAGATTAAGCACACACTGCCATCAAGACGTTTGGCTGCAATGTCATATAATGGACTTCGAACAAAATAGCACAATTCTGAAACCAAAAGAGCATGTTCTTCACACTCGTTAAATGAAATGTATTAATTTTGCTTTTTGGTAGAGGAACAATTTGACCTAAACTCAAATGGAGTTTAAGTTCTACCTTATTGTATAAATAATTTTTACATCATCAGGTTATTCAAAGAATATCTAGAAATAGCTCTTTGAAATCTCATAAATAAAATATGTTACCTGCTATAACATGTAAGAGAACCTGACACGGTCAAATCATCTAAGCTGATTTAAAACTCATTTGAATTAAAATAGAATTTCATTTCTTTTTTTTTTTGTTATTCAAATTCTTAAAACCATACCATTTTGAACAATTTGATCTTGGAATGCCAATATCTCAATGGGAAATTCACAATTTCCCACAGAGGGATTTGTTGCTACAATTTGGCCTAAACCATCAAAATCACATTTTTTTAAGGATTGTTTGTTTTTTTGAAAATATGCATTAAAAGCATAAGAAATTCTTGATTCAAAATTGAGTCCATCACAAGAAGCTCCTTTTTCCAATCGTGTACAATCTGCAGCGTCGCATGATAAATCATAATTCTTGTTCACCAAATTCATGTCTGATGTGTCACCATTGAACTTGCACCATCTATTTGGCATTTTCACAATGCCCTTAGCTTGTGTAGGATACTCGTCACGATCCTGTAATTAGAGATGATAAAGTTAGCTTACGAAAAATTATTTATTTAGACATGTCTACATGGTTGGGCAATGACCTATTTATTAATTTACGTCATTTTAAATTGCTCGAAATTTACCAACCATGCAATTGAAAAAATAGTCAACTATCATTATGATACACTATTTTTTTTTCTTAATTACAAAATCAAAAAATCGATCATCTGACACTCGTACCTGTAATGAGAAATCAATCTTGTACTTTGGATTTCCATCAGCCCTATAAATGCCCCAATGCCTTTGAAATGTACCATATACTGTACGAAATTTATTTTCATCTGATAAGCTATGAAGATAGATGTCAAGAGGCCCTGGCCTAAGTGGTGTCCCTTTTTTTGATGCTACATATTTTAATAACCCCTTATGAAATCTCTCTGCATTTTTAATATTTGCATGTGGATATCCATCTGTAGGCCATCCAATTTGACCAATCATAATTTTCATATTAGGATATCCCGCTTTCTTTAATGCCCATGCAAGAGAATCGATCATCAACTCCACTGCATTTGTGTATGTAATATTACCATCTACGATTTTGAACCCACTCTTATTATTCATGAAGGCAAATTCCATAGGGTAATTCATAATCTCTTTAACAAAATGAATAGGGAACATGTAGATAACAAAAGGGGCTCCGGTTCGATTGAACTCTTGTAGGGATTCAAGCATAGGTTTTTTTATGTCATCGCGAAACTCTGCCTCTGATGGAAATTTTGTAACCTTTAACACGTCCATGCCATGGCCAGTCGTTGCTCTAACGTGCCCTAATTTCATATCATCAAGGGTATCTCGTATGAGTTTTAACACGGGCATAATTTGAGTGTTATTTGCCTCTTTGAAGAAGGAATTCGAAAATGGTTCTGAACCAATGGTTACTTCTCTGAAAGAAATGAAATCACAAAGTATAAGAACTATCAAAGACTACAATACTACTGAAAAAGATTGTCCAAATCATACATAAAACGTCTGTAATCTGCATCGGGCTCTGATATCATGTCCCTTGGATCTAACTCACAAGGAGCCCAAGAATCCATTATTGGATTTTTATTTTCATAACAATTCAAGTCCAAATAAAAAGAAGATAGTTACTTACACTATATTCACACCTTTGTTGATTGGATCCTTGATTCTATCATTTACCCATACATATGCAAGATCATTCCTATTTGCTTGTGACAAATATTGATTTCCCATAGTAACACTTAGGCTAATATTACTTCCTGAAAATATCTCAACGATATCATATCCTGAAGTCATTAATCTTAATTGTGGAATCTTGTTTTGTAGAAGCATATCAACAACCATTGATG